TGCTCTTCCGATCTCCCCAAAACCCCAAAACCCCAAAACCCCAAAACCCCATGAGAAGGGATTTGTTTAAAATTCAGAGTGAGTAATATAACTTCTAGTTCTTTTTAATGCAAATTAAAAATTATGCTAATTAAAATATTTAGTTTAATTTAATTCAATTTCAATGAGAAAAGCAGCAGTTCTAGGTTCAAATGACCATAACCCATCTAACATGTCAAGTCCACCTCCTCAATTTGATTATAACTCTGGCAGGTAAACCCCTCACATGCTTGGAAGTAATACCGAGAAGCCTTTAATAATAGACATGGGAACTTAATCTATAAAGATAGGATATTCTGAGTTAAGTTCTGGTGATAGATTCCCATCGATGATGATTCCTACTTTGGTAGGCTACCCAAAGCTCACTAAATCTGCCATATCATCTTCTCTTCTTAGAGATGATTAGACATTTGTGGGTATCGAGGCCTTAAAACGATCTCCACTTCTCAGTTTAAAGTATCCCATAGAACATGGCATAATCCTTGACTGGGAGGAGATCAATTTACTCCTAGATCATGCAGTTTTGCAGTGTATGAAACTCAATTTCTCACAGCTGAACAGCGGATTGATGATGACTGAGGCTCCACTTAATCCCAAGAAAAATAGGGAAAAAATGACACAACTAGTTTTTGAACAGTATCAAGTGCCGAAGTTTCAAATCTCAATGCAGTCCTTGAATGCCATATACGCTGAAGGTATGCACTCAGGTCTCGTGCTTGAATGTGGTGAAGGTATTAGTACTTGTGTACCTGTAGTCGAGGGCTATGTCCTTTCACATGCCATTACTCGAATGGACATTGGTGGTAGAGATATCAATGAGTATCTAATGGATCTCCTCAAGAACAAAGTTGTCTTCAACACTACTTTTGAAAGAGAATTCGCTCGAGATATCAAAGAACAGAGCTGCCAAATTAAAACTAACTCAGCCTTAATAAATCATAATACCTTTACTCCCGATAGAAAAAAATATTCACTGCCTGACGGAAAAACTATAGAGATACATAATGAGCAATATGATGCCCCTGAAATTCTGTTTAATGATTCATTAATTGGTAGAGATGGAGAGGGTCTTTAGCATTTAGTAATCAAAGCTCTTGATAAATGTGAGATTGATGCCAGAAAAACTCTAACCTAAAATCTGGTAATTGCTGGTGGTACCTCTATGCTCAGAGGCTTCTCAGAAAGACTTTAAACTGAACTCATCAGTCTAAATGAAAAGGAGGATAAACCTTATAATAGTTTTAACATCATAGAGAAACCCTACAGAAGATATATCTCTTGGATCGGAGCATCAATACTTGCATCTCTAAGTAGCTTCTAGCCTAAATGGATTACTAAAAATGAATATGAGGAACACGGAGTGTCGATTATTCACAAAAAGTCTATGATTCAGTGACTTATGCCTATGATTATATGAATATTTTGTTTAATGGAATTATCTCTTATTACTACTGTTCCAGAATTTTCTTGATTTAATAAAAGCTTAATATTTAAGAAATATTTATGATTTATTAAAATCTAAGTTTATACTATCCTCCAATCTTTCCCTAGCAAAAATAAGAAGACATTCTAGGAATGGAGCCGCTTAACCAAATTAACACAGATGCTGACCAGCCGCGTTCAGCTCCGAGTCTCTTAGCTAAGAGTAAATACTGCTTTTTCAACATACTATCATACTACTACTCAAGAGCTGAAGCCAAAATGCTTCTAAAGAGACTAAGCTAAAGAGGGAGAGATTTGTGCCAGGATACCTATCTGAATCTTTTGAAGCCTCTCGCATACAACTTAGAGATCCGATCTCCTCAGCAGATTATAGTGCTTCATAGGTTCACCAATAACTTCTTTTTTGACGATGAAATATAACTAGAACTTTATCTAGACTTCAATAGACTAGAAGAAAGAACTGTGATTAGCCTAATCAAAGCCATTTAAGACTGTAGCAATATCGCAATTTTAAAAGTCGCGGGATCTCCTAATCCTGTATTTGCTCATAACCTATTCGAAATGCTTGGCACTAACAAAACAATAAAAGAGATTGATGTAAATATTGAGTTCTTCAAGCCAAACAACTTCCTAGTGCTCCAACATAGTCTCTCTAAAAACTCCATTCTTGAAAAAATCTCATTGAGGAAATGTTCAGTTTCAAACACTGACATAGAGTTGATTGTCAGAGGTATGAATTCAAACCCTAGTAGACCTATCAAAGCATTTGAACTACACGACATTATATTACCATCGCAGAGTATCAAGGCACTTACATCATATCTTTCAGAGATCGATCCAAAAAGTTTTAAAGAGTTTAGTCTATCTTTTGTCTAAAATGTTGACTCTGATGATCTGACTTTGATGCTGAGCAAGAACCAAAACTTGGAAAAGGTTCATATTCGCAGCTGCTTTTTCGATAAGAACCTTTCTTTACACAATCTTAAGGATCATAGAAACATTTAAGAGCTCCTAATAAGCAACATTAATATTGACTCGACATTAATTCAAAATCTGGCTTTAACAATAAATGAAACATTAATCAAGAAATTAATAATTGATAGTTGCAAGGGCAGTATTCAAGACTTTGCTTGGGTCAAGCTTGGCAATTAGATTGGCTAGTCTCAAACTCTCACTCATCTTGAAATCTCCAATTTCGCTTCAAATAATCTCCACTTTCTCACTGCTGGAATAGTCCAAAATAAGAGTTTATGGACTTTGATCATAGAGTAATGCAAGCTTCAGACAATAGCCCTAGCACCAATTACCAATTTAGTTAGCTAGAATAAAAATCTTAGAACACTAAAATTGGGTCATAATAATTTCACTAATACCCTTGAACTTCTATAGCTTTCGAAAGCATTAGCTCTCAATTAATCAATCTTAGAGCTAGACCTGAATAGCAATCAGCATATCCCCATGGAGTTCTATAACTTCCTTCAAGTTAACCAGTCATTGCGATATTTGAGAATGGCTATGTAAAGTAACCACTTGCAAATCCTACTCAGTATTCTCAAAGATAATCATGGTCTTTAATCAATTGACTTGATGTAAACTAGATTCTCCTATCAGCAAATTGAAGAGATTGAGAAACTTAAACACGTCAAGATCTACTACTATGACGATAAAATGTGAAGACAGTTGATTGATCTAAGACATAAAGACCTGAGAGAAGATTTATGCTAATAATGAGAAACTCCTTCTCAATAAATCATTCTCAACATGGTCTCAAACATTATAACCTTATTATTAATTTCATAAAGAGTTAACTTTAAATAAATAGTCTTCTGAACTTAACTTATATGCACATTTATAACTCTTAGCACAATGCTGTACATAAAATGTCTCATTCAAATTTCTTTTATCACTTTTACTAGTGCTGCAAATATTTAAGCTTATTTATAGTAATCTTAGTCTTAAAAGTAAAATTTTATCAGCTTTCAACCTCATCCTCATCAAGTTTAATAGGGTATTTGAAACTTTTATTTGCGTCTTCTCCTTTTAATAGCGGTGCTAGACATTTTGTCAAGTCTATCTCTCGATTCTCATAGTCAATCTCAAGAGGAGCATCTTCGTCATCTTCATGACCACCGTAGTACTTAAATGGCTCATATGGTGGTTCTTCCCAAGGTTGAGGAAAAGTTCCATAATTTATATTTAAAGCTTAACCCGATTTAGATGTGGTCTTGGCTGGTTATTATTATTAGGATTATCATAACATTCCCATACCCATACCTGGCATAGGTGCCATTCCCATTCCAAGACCAACAGGATAATGCTAAGGAAGCTATACCTAAGGAGGGTAAAATGGATAAGGCCCTGCGTAAGGATTGTATTAATAAGGGTGAGCCATTGGCGGCATGTATCTGACAGCCATTTGATTGTAGAAATGAGGTGGAGCAGGTATTCCATATCCAATTGGTGGGGCCATAGATATTGGCATTGGCATTGGCATCGAGCTAAAATCTTGAGTATTACCATTTCTAGTTCTTTAGCCTGCATTCCTAGGTTTATATTTGTCTTTCCAATAGTTCTTCCAATACTCACTGGCTTCCTGATCCATTTGCTTAGGTTATCTTTAATTTCCCATGTTTTGACGTTACTGCTATTATCTATTTGGCTATCGATTCATCATTACTGATTTCATATGCTAACGGTCATGTTCATTCATCAATCTTTCCTGTAATTCTAGAGCATCTATTACCTTTGGCTAAATTTGAAATTTATTAAAAACTTATATGTATAACTTACAGTATTCTTTCCAGGTAGTTTGCATTCAGGACAAGGACATCCTTGATAATGTTTGACTTTTTTACGATGAGCGGGATTTTTGAATTGATCAAAGAAAATGTCGTTATTACCTTTGTAGTCAGAGTCATTTAAATTAGGGAGCTTTAAATCATTATCTGTAGAGAGAAGAGAAAATTTAGATTCATTTCATCCTTAGTTTATTTTTCTGGGTTCGGTTCTAATATCTCCCATGGAGAATGAATTTTTCATTAAAGTTATGTCTTATTTATTTAAACTGTAATCTAAATTTAATATTTTTTCACAAAATCGTTACCTCGTTGTACTTAAGGGGTTTTGGGGTTTTGGGGTTTTGGGG